CCTCGAATATCGAAGGTAAAAGTATCTCGCTGGATTCCAGCGCTTGAGAACTGTTGCTCTGAGCGGCAGGGCTTTCCTCCGCTAAAAAGGTAGCCGTAGGATCAAAACCCGAGTCGGGTAAGCGAGCTAAGGTTCCAGATTCTGGAACTGGTGAGCGGATCTCTTGCTGACCCGAAACCTTTTGAGACAACGTCGACAAGGATACCAAAATTTCACGAATGCCCAGCTGGTGTTTGAGACTATCAATGTCGAATTCCATTTCTTCATACTGAAATTCATTCGCTGGTGCAATTCCTTCAGCGTTGCTTGTCGGGTTAGCTGACTCCTGGTTGGTAATATGAACGCTCGTTTCGAGCGCTATTGAATTCAACGCAGAGTCTTTATTCATGGCCGCTTCCTTTTTCGCCGTCTCTGTATATCATTCGGTACGGCTCTAAAAGACAGAAGAGAGAATGAGTAAACAAGCAAGAAGCAGAGCACGTCGTAAGGAAAGGTCGAACTTAAAATCCAACCGACTCACTGACCTGTTGTTGCACGAAAGGACGAATGGATCGTTTCACTCACGTGACCAAAACCCTGACAACTGTTGCTACGCCGCCATATTTGTGTACAGATATCGCATGCAAATCTACTGCGTCCTTTGAAAGAGGATGGTTTTGTGCTTGATTCTCGGTTGTGGAAATAGAAGTGGAAGGGATAAAGGATTATTTTTTGCCAAAGTACCTTCGATGATTGAAAATCAAGGAAAAGAAATCAGAGAATTGTCAGCAGAAAGATGATCGCGCTGGATTTCTGCCATTAGCAGAGACGATCTCACCGATACCATTTTGGAAAACGATCGCGTGTGTGAGAAACACTTTGTTTCTGGAAAGACCGCAAAATCATGGGATAAATTTAACATTGATTGGGTGCCAACCCTGGATTTAGGACGTAATAAGGAGACTGGCCGTACGGATAGAAAAAAAGCAGCAAAAAGAAGTAAGAGGGTGAGGGAACGCGAATTAGTGAAGAACGCGGCGTTTGCCGAAAGGGTGAACGTGCTAGAGTCTGAGAGGGAGGAGAAGTTTTTCAAGATTTAGCGAATTGGGGCAGCAAAGTTTATATTTAAACTTTGAAGGTGGCGAAGCAGAAAGTATAGAGAAGCCCACAGAGAAAGGCACACAAACTGACTCAAGAATGTTTGTTGACGTCGGCACGCAATCGAAAGAGTTTGCGTGCAAGCAAGTTTTCTATTTATCTTCGTCCCCGCTTCTACGTAAAATAAAACCCTTGCAATATGCGAGCATGATTCAGCTGGCCCGGCCTTACAACCTAGGCAATTAGCGGATAAAATTGTCTCCTCCTTTTCTGTTATAATCCAGATAGGGATCAAAGAGTCATTCATTCTGTGCGAATGTCTCACCTTGGCTAACACAACAAATTTGTCTGCGATTATGTGGCCTTTTACGCTGGTTATAAATCCCGAAACCATCTGATTGTAGGCTCCTAGGCTTCGGAAAGCGTTAAACTGTTGTTGCATGTAGAAGCTGGTCTCCAAAACCAGATAGAAAAGGAGACCTGTAGCTAGATTAAACTGGAGGCAAGCAGTGTAGTTAAAAATTATTACTCTGAATAAGGACGGGATCGATTCTAATCGTCAATTTTTTTCCAAATAACGCCGTATTACTCGTGGTTCTAGCTTCTTAGTGCACTGAGAAAGAGGAGGATGGATCAGTATTGGCACTTAAGAGGCTGTCCACCTAAGAACGGATAAGGCAAATTTCGGACCTTCACTGATTTCCCTGATTTCCCTGATTTTTACTGTGGAAGTCGATACTTCTATCCCATGAACAAATATTGCGTTTATTTTGAATCAGTCCGGGTTTTTCATTTTTACGAGATATTTTTCAAGGTGACCTCAAAGGCACCCAGTTCCCCCCCCCCCGACCTCCTTAATTTAGCTACAAAAGTCGATGGCTACTGTAGCCGTATTCTCAAATCTAAAAAGCTTTCTACTTTATATGTCTAAGATCAACCCTCTGCCATTACGTTAGCGGTCAAATGATTACACTATATATATTTTTCACTGAGTTACAGACTTTTCAAGATACTTACCTCGAGCACTAAAATTTGTGATGCGTGAGGTACATGTGGTTGAAAGCTATTTTCTCTTATGTGGGACCTGATCTAGAGTCAAATCTATTACAGCCTATAAGCACTTATAGCTAATAAGTAAATTATGGAATAAAACTTTTGGGCACTCTTCATGGCGCGCCGCACAGAGCTTTGCAAATTTCACAAATATTCGCCATTTTGATCGAAATCAAAGATAACGCGATCCGACCAACAGGTAAATTTGGGATCTGAGAACTTGTTACAAATCATAAAATAAAACTGAAGAGCGGATTTTTATATTGAAAAATACATATCATGCGACTTTTTCGCCGTTAAGTTGAAAACATTGGTGTTCTAAAGAGGAAAGACCTGTGTTTATAGTTAATAAATTATGCAAATTAGCATT